CATACTAGAGAAATAGAACACAACAAGCAGGCCAAATTCACTAAGATAAAATTGATAAAACCCTGGATGAGATAAGTAGTGGGAGAATGTGGGAGCTCAGAGGAACAAACAAAGGGGTCAGGTTTGATGCTGCTTTATTGCCATGGCTCTGTGCTATGCAGTCATGGGAGTTGTAGTTTCATAAGATTTCACAGCTCCCAGGATTCCATAGCATTGAGCCATGGCAGTTAAAGTGGTGTCAAACCGCATTAATTCTATAGTGCAGATGCATCCTTAGTTAGGTTCAGGACAATGACTCATTCAGTGTTACCCACTGAGTTTTGTGGCTCAGTAGGTATTTGTTTCTCTTGTTTCTTTCTTTGAATCACTTCCCCAATTATATTTAGATTCTTCCAATTAGTTTAACCACTTTTTCCAATTCAGACATACTAGAAAGGGATAGGAACAACTTTGAATGAAGAAAAATGGCACAAAAGTGTCCTGTTTTGCATATTATTGCTGATATGCTACATCAAGGCTGCATAGCATAAATCTACACATGCAAAATGCCATACTAGTTGTTCTATGCAGCCTTTGTAATGGGTGACAATATTGTGAAATTGCATCAAGACACCAAATATATAATTGAATGCACAATAAGGTTTTGCACATCCATGCACAAACGCCCATTTATGCACTCTGGCCCTGCATGTGTAACTTCACCTGAACAACTTTGATCTAAATGTGGACATTCTGCATCAGAGGAAAATTATAGGCATTTCCTTGGGTGATACAACAGGTTTCTGGCTTTAGAAGCTTTTGTAACATATATCACATGTCTAATCCAAAAAGTCATTTACCCATTGTAAGAAGTCAAATTGGAGAAGGATTCAGGAGCTGCAGTGACTACATTTGACTTATTGTCAAAAGCTTGATCATTTTGACTGATGAGGTTTTATGTCTGGCAGCAATGTACAAGGAACAACCTATCCTAGTGGGAAAAGGGGTAATGGAGTGAAGAAATGTGATTTGCCATGAAAATTACTATATGATTTATGACCAAATAATAATTTCCAGTAGCATTGGATATGGCTCTTAAACCCAGTGAAAATGACATATTATAGAAAAACAAATCAGCATTTCTGGAAATTAAGAAGATGAAAAGATTCTACAAAGTCACTGATGCAATAAAAAAGCAGAAGTATACACTGGAGTGTATTTACACTATGTCATTAAAGCATTTCAGTACCAATGTAATTGCTATTGCTTCATCCTAGGGAACTCTGGGATTTGTAGTTTGGGAAATAGTGCTTAGAATTCTCTGTCAAAGAGCTCTAGTAGATGTACCTCCCCACCCAGAGATGATGCAGTCACATAGAGCAAAATGGTGTGAAACCGCTACAGTTACGTAATGTGTATATGTCCTTATTCAGATTATTGCCTAAACATTAGATATGTAATTTTTCACTAATTTTATTGTCAATAGAAGCAACTTATAATTTAAGTCATTTTGTTTCAGTTACAAGATTTGTTCAAATGGGATTTGCCTTTGCCATCCTCTTAGGCCAAGAGAGTATGACTTGTCCAACATCACCCAGTGGGTTTCCATGGCTGAGTCAGGATTTGAATCTTAAGACCTCATCCCATGAATGATGAGAAGCATGTGGGTCCATATGTCTAGCGAAAGCAATTCCCCTTTCAAATGCCAATAGTCCCATTTCAAGTTCCTATCACACATGTTTGCCTCTTCTTCAGTTTTCCCCTGGTTGTTGCCCAGGTTCCAAACCATCACATGGGAAGCCTTTTCTCCCCCCTCTCCATCTCACTATTTTTAAATAAAGGAAAAAATCTTCTCTTCAAAGAAGATGGAGAATTTACATACCCCCATCACACAGGCTCGCCTCCTCCCACCTTTAGCTCAGTCACCCACTTAGAAGAGACACAAGGCATCATTCTTAAGACACCACTTCTGTGGACCGATTTCGTTCCCAAGCCCCATTCTTAAGACACTCCCGTGAGCGTCTTTCCTTCCTAAGTCACATTTGTAAGACACTTCTATGGTCTGCTTTCCTTCCCAAGCCCTGTTCTTAAGCCCCCCCTCCCCCCCCAAAAAAGACCACCCATCAGACTGCTTATCAGACCACCCTTCAAAACACCACTGCACAATGACAACACAGGACAAACAAGTTAAGACACTTTCTATCCCACCCAGTTGGAACTACAGATCTAACGTAAACTAGTAGCTCTGAACACAATTGCTCACCTGTGTTCAGAGCTCTCTCCTTGCAGGATACTACATGTACATTTTGAGGCCAGAAGGGCACAGACGATGGATGGAAGTTAGCTTACATTGTGTGATGGGATCTGTGCCTCTTCATCCATTAACTGTATATGAAGTGTTCTTGGGTGGGAAAAACCTCAATGAGATGAGGTCCTTGGTCTCCCAGTTTCCTAGCCCACCCTTAAAAACACTGCACCATGATGGCTCGCCATGCAGTTATCAGCCACTGCTAAATTGGCATCTATTGCTGCTTATATATTTCTCTTCAAGTCCTTCTTCTTCAGCAATCTGTCTGTTGCAACCGCCAAGCTATCATTCTGCTTGACTTGTGTGCCAGTATGTCTGCTATTGTGTTTTCTGGCATTTCCCCAAAACTTGATTGTTTGTTTATTTATTTATATCTCACCTTTTCCCTGAGGGTATACACAATTATGCTACACAATGATAACAGCTGTAAGACATGGGGAACAATGTACAATCAATTGCTGGCGGAAAACCTGAATTCTATCCATAAAACTGAGAACATAAACGTTAACAAGAATGCAAGCCCAAGCTACACTGTCAGAAGGATTTTGAAAGTTTTAAAGTGTTTTTCAAACCGTATCTCATGCTGCTGACCTTTGCTCCAGAATGTCCATTCCACTTCCAGAAATATCTTCTCGGCATTGCAAGGACTAAATTGCTCTTGCAGTAAACCCATAGCATCTTATTTTTTGTATCTTTTCTGATGTCCAATTTTTTTTTTTAGAAAAGTTCTAGGTGTTGCATTCAGTCTATAATGATGTTTTGTTCTTCTCTGTCTAGAGAATTAATTCCCTTTGGTAACACCATGGTACAAAATGGCAAGTAGTGGTTGTAATTAACTTAAATATTCTCCTATTTCTTTGTTCCCTAATTATACAAGGTCCTCAAAACATATTGAGGCAATATGACGAAACTGGAGAAAAACTGCTTGGAAACATTATTTCTGGACTACAATTGCCAGAACATATTAGCTACTAGGCTTGTACCTGAATCAGTTTGACCAAAAGTGATTTATAATATTCAGTGGTCCGTTTCATGTAATACCCAAAAACAGAATGAGAGGAGGGAACCAAAAAGCTTAGCAAAATGGGTCAAGAGAGCCAGATTTATCGGCTACTGGAAAGGATGAAGTTAAGTCTGATTTATACCTGAGGCAGGGGTCTCCTGGAGAAGATCCTGTAGCATCTTTTATCCCTCCCCAGCAGTGAAGTGCCCATTTCATTTGGAAAAGTTCCCTAGGCTCCTCCTCCAAAGAGGGCTCTGATGGAACTCACTTTCCCAGCAGCACTTGCATGGGGCAGGAATTGAAAAGTCTCTGAGCTCCACTCAGAGCATGATGGGAATTGGAGTTTTTTTCTCTCTCTCTTTCTCAGCAAATAAAAGGCCTGGTTGTGTCTATGCTCTGATTGGCTGAGAATGAACACAACCAGCAACTACAATTCCCAGAACCCTTTCTTGCGGTTTGTCTTATTTTTAAAAATGTGATGATAAAAAACCTAAAACAATTCTTAAAAAATCAGTAGATTGGTGAATTGTTCTGAAACTTGGCAGACCTGCAGTTGTAAATGGAGTCTAAAACTGAGGTAAATTTCGTGCAGATAGACCTTAAAATGACTGAGGTTGGAGCCTCTAAAGTTTCCCATTGTAGCCAATGAGCCAAATTTTTGCCAAATGAAAATGGCAACACTCCTCCCAATTTGAATAACTTCCCAGTAAACAGAATGAGGGGTTAGCTGAAAATGGACCCTGAAATGGCATGCCTTTTGGAAGAATAGTGCATCTCTGTCAGCTACCATGGCAAGAAGCTCTGCTGGCTGAATCATTCCACAAATTGTAGTCCAAAAACTATTTTTTCCAAGTCTAGAAAAAAAGCCATACTATGCCAGTAGTTTCAGTTTTCTGCCTTTGTCATTAATGCTGTATTTGATCCTGCTGACTCATTTTCATTGCACACAATGTCTTATTTTTCGATATAAAGATAGTGTCTTGATAGTAAGAACGGTAATCCTAATCTGTTTTGGATAAATAAATTAAAACACAAATTATGTAGTCATCCAGTATATAACATAATGATACTGTTTACTCCCTTAGATTTGTCTACTTGAGTATATCTCAAAGCCAAATCAGAATGAGAACAGTTCTTTCTACCCTCTCAGAAAGAATATCAAAATATTTTACTTTCTTTTGCAGCCATTTACCCATTAATAACAATTTGAGATGTCATCAGCTCTCGATATACCCAGTGGAAGTATGGGATTTGGAAGATAAAATTGTAGTCCAAACAATTAACTTTTTCAAGTTCTAGAAAATAAGTACAAAGTTGTTTGTTTGGACCCTCATGAAAACGCAGTCCCATTTGTCCACCTGTGCCTCACAGATCAGGTTTAGCAATTTGGACCTCAGTATGTCACAAGTAGAAAGTACATTGCAGAAAAGTCATTGCTCATACTTATAAGAAAAATAGGTTGAACATTGGTGATTCAAACTGAATATTATGGCCCAGTACCATATGAAAATAGCCTAAACAGAACAAAACCATTGCAAGCTCTCCTTTTAACACCCTGTTTCACTCCTTCGCATTGTCACCCATATGTCCAGAATGTTTTAATGGAATGTTGATAGCTACAATTTGGCCACGTCAACATCTCAGTGCCGGAAGAATATGTCAGGTGCTCAAGTCTGGATGGCAGTAAAAATAGCACCTCTCTTTTCCTAGGTGGTGAAAATGATGATTGTTGTCGTCCTGACGTTTGCAGTCTGCTGGTTGCCATATCACATTTACTTTATAGTTACTGGGATCTATGAGAATTTGAACCGGTGGAAATATATTCAACAAATCTACCTGGCCACATTTTGGTTGGCCATGAGTTCTACCATGTACAACCCCATCATCTACTGCTGTCTCAATAAAAGGTAAGGGTGTCTTACAGATCTCTCAAGTATTTATGTATGTATCACAAAACGTAAGTACCAAATTCTGGGCATTTCCTCTTTTCACTTGTACATATCAAGAGAAGGAAGATCAAGATAGGAGATAGTGTCTACAATAGAGCCTCCATTCTGTAAACCTTGGTTATCCAGACTACTCAGGGTTAACTCTGCATTGTGCTTGGAAAATTTATTTTTGACTGTAACCCTCAACATCCATCAACTAGCAAGTAAATCCCCAACTACAAAAAGTAAAATATCCAAGGTTTGCAGAAACCTTCTTATCCAGATTCACCAGACCATAACAGTTTCTCCTTCCTTGTCATTTTCCCACACTCACACAAGTTGGATATACCACACAAGGGTCTTTTCTGACATGAAATGGAAAAGGTTAGGATATAACACTCAATGCATCAAAAGGATAGAACAGCACTCAAGGAACCCTGCCCTTGACATCTAAGCAAAACTTCCCTTTTTAAACATTCCCTTTGTATATGCCTCCTGGAGGTGTGATTAGTGGAGAAGAATGATTTCAGAGGAAGTTTAACAAAATGTTATATAACGTCCTCCATTCATACATGCAAATGGTATTAATATATGCAGTGTCTGATGACTGAACAAAGCCTCTGAGCTGGTTCACCAGTTCAACAGGTTTACACAGCACAATCTATCTGTGTGTCACATCACAGAAGACCACAGATTGAGGATCTCTTGTTTTGAATATTCCCCTGAATCAAAACTGCCTTGAATTAAGAGAATTATGACTAGACTAGGCTACAAATGTATGAAGCTGGTATGAGGACATCTTGAACCTGCAGATGTTGTTCAATTCCTACACCCATCAGGCCTACCCAATGTGGCCAATGCTGAGAGTTAGAAGTCTATCATTTCCCACTCATGTTTCCACCCTGATATAAAACTCTGAATGTAAAGAAGCTGATGTTTGCAGAGGGATTAGAACAGAGTATCCTAAAAGAAGAGGACACACTACAACAGGGCATCATTATGTCTGATATAAAGCACTGAATGTAAATATGCCAATGTTTACAGAGGGATTACAACAGAACATCCTAAAAGAGGGCACACTGCAACAGGGCATCATTATGTCAAAATCAAAGCCCATGCCATACTATCATTATGCTTACACAGTCACATTTCTTCTGGCTTTCCAAATATAAATGTTATGTAGCACTTCTTGAGATTATTAACAAATTTAAACCTAAACTTGCATATACCTTGAAGCCAACATGGACTGAACACCGTGGAATGTATTTCCAAGGAAATCTACCTAAGAGTATTTTCTTTAATAAAAATATTAATTCATGCTCAAAATCAGCATCTAATTCAATACCAAGCAGCTATTATGGAATATTATTTTGAAACCTCTTTGGGAAGAGTTCCAAATTGCACGTTCTAATTGCTACAATATGTATGTAAATAGTTTAAGATGATTGCAGGAGTCTAATGAACAAATACTTCACCATCTTTTTGCATCTTAATCAACCACCTGTCTGCTGCAGGTCTCATTGAACATATACCTACTCCCATCAGGATTTCATCAGGTACAGGAGCACTAATCTCTTGCTCCTTCTGTTTCCTAATCAAAACAAAGTAAATCCCTAAGCATCTCTGCTATGTACTGGTATATGAAAAATTCATGATGAGTTTATTCTCTCATTAATTCCAACCACAAAGAAATTCATCAACCAGTTCTTTTAAGCATTGCATTCTTGTTCAGTGCTACACACATTCAATGTATTATAATAATATATTTGAATATTGAGTGCAACACTCCACAGACGGTTATGGGAATAGAGAGATCTGTTTACTTGCATATCCGTTTTTCAATTTTCAGTGTGATAGCTTCATTTCATCCTATTTCTGCAATATTTTAGACATGCACAGACACACTAACAGTGAATAAATTATATGCATTTTCCTCTGATATTTTTGTACATCTTTCAAACTTACAATACATATTTTACATACATTTTATGCATACATTTATTTTTATGTATTTATACACACATTTCATGCATTTCACTTTACAATGTGCATTTTTAACATGTCACTCCTAAAATCTAGAATGGGAACTTTATAAGCATTGCATCATTTGATGGTGTACACAATCCACAATCAGTTACTGTGCTTTGATCAACATATTAAATCAAAAAGTGTAGATTAGTAATTATGTCTTAAAATATAGGCCAAATTAAATTATCATGTGTTCCTAATGGTGCTATCATAGTGGATCATTTAGCTGAATGAACAAAACCTCAAGTTCAACCAAGCCAGCTTGCCATATTTTGCAATAACTAAAGCAGTAGACAGAGAAGATCTTCCTCAATAGGAATTTGAAACTACCTAGCTATTCTTGTTATGCAGAACTAGCTTATTGCATTCATCAAAATAAACAAGGGTTTTCCTACATGACCAGGCTGCAAGTGTGGATTGCTACACACAAGAAAAATAACAGCAATAACAAAACACATTCAAAATGACTCATCAGCAGGAAAGTCAGAGTCATGTTCCTGGCATATTGACCAACAACTTTCTAGTTTCAGTTTGGATTTCATTTAGAGCCTAGGATATATATATATTTTTAAAAAAAATCAACTTTACAAGATTTAAGAACTGTGAATAGTGCTAGTTTCCATGTGATATGATCTACTTGTTTTCTCCAAATTCAGAAACATAGTGCATGTCTTTCTTTTTCTTTTCCCTCTATGTTTGAGGAATAGGACTTTAGTTGCCTTTGACAGGAGATTTCCTGATTTGCAAATAACTAAGATTATCTCAGTAGCAGCTGGTGGCTACAATGAATCTACACCAGCTTTGGACTGAACTTTAGAATGGGGTATCCTGTCTTCCCAGTACATTCAGTACCATGGATAGCTGCTTGAACCCTCAGACAACTTGCAGCAACAACTGCTGGTCACAGGAGCCCCCGGAGGCGCAGTGCGTTAAAACCTTGTGCTGGCAGGACTGAAGACAGACAGGTCGCAGGTTTGAATCTGGGGAGAACATGGATGAGCTCCCTCTATCAGTTCCAGCTCCCCATTGCGGGGACATGAGAGAAGCCTCCTACAAAGATGGTAAAACATCAAAACATCCGGGGGGTCCCCTGAGCAACATCCTTGCAGATAGCCAATTCTCTCACACCAGAAGCAACTTGCAGTTTCTCAAGACGATCCTGACATGACAAAAAAAACTTGGAACAATAGGCTTGAATTGAGGAATCCAGCAACAAATTTGTCAAGTCTTTAGTACATCAAAAGTACAGTGCAATAATAAAATATTATCCTCTGAGGTGAAATATCATAGACAGATTGCAGAGGAAAGTACTAACCCTTCACAATTGTGGATTTCACTTTTCCAGATTTGATTAAAATATTATCTCTAGAAATTTCTATATCCTCTAGTGCAACTCTTATGGCCAACTTCTGCCAGAAGTTGGCCATAAGATATATGTGGATATATGTTTTCATATTCCCTTTTTCACAGGGAATATGGAGAGCTGACTGTAAATCAGTGACATAGGAGTAAATTATGAAATACAAATCCTGAACATTATATTCTCATAGTAGCATCCATGAGTAGAATCCATTTGTTGCAAATCATGTTACAAACTAGTTCGACAGCTTCCAGCTCTACCAGGAAGAGGTCTTTGGTAAAGCTAATGGGTGTTCACTGTTCATTTAAAACTAAACCATCTCTAAATACTTGGAAAAATAGACTTCCATCCTCCAGGTATTTAGGACTTCAGGTCACAGAATCCCCAGCCAGTTTGGACAACTATTGGGAATTCTAGAAGCCAGTATCTAAAACACACGCAGGAATGAAGGTTGAGAACCACTTCTCTATATGATTGGAGAGTGCTTTTTTCTTTAGCCATGCTAACAAATATTCAGCAAAGGACTGGAGTCTCCATTTGAAAGCTATTTTGAATTCTGGGCACAGCCATTCTTCATCACTGATTAAGCTGGCACCTGAAACAGATGTATTGGAGAGCAAGCTTGTATCACAATTATCTATTTGTCTTCACGGTACTCTTTTGACTACTGTAACAGACTAACATGGTTTCTGCACTCCCCTGATGCAAAGTATTATAAATTGTGAGATCTGTGCACAAAAGATATTTGCCCTTGCTCCTTTTGCTTCTTGCAACATCATTATTTAGAATGTTCATTTTTAATTCCTCTGATCTCTTTTTTTATTCTCATCAGGCTTTGGCATAGCCACTTTCAAATTATCTTAGACAGAAAATAAAAACATTTAACCTGCGATTGCCATGAAAACATGCTCCTAAACCCATATTTCTCTTAATTTTCTATTGCAGAACTCAGTCATAAAATGTATACATACATTAAGCACCTCTCAATATCTACACACACACACAGAGGGAGAGGGGGAGGGAGAGAACTCCTTGAGTCATATCATTGCCAAAATGGTTACTTAAAGTGATGCAAAATTGCTTGTGGCCATCACTTTGGATAGAATATTGCTGACAGAACAGATATTGTTTTAGTGATCGCAACAGGTTGTGGTCCCCAACTACCACACAGCTGCTGAGGTTACCAAAACATATCCTTGCCAACCACCTACCCATGCTCTAGAACAGGGGTCCTCAAATATTTTAAACAAAGGACCAGGTCACAGTCCCTCAAACTGTTGGAGGGCCAGATTATAATTTGAAAAAAAGCATGAATGAATTCCTATGAACACTGCACATATCTTATTTGTAGTGCACACTTAAAAACAATACAATAATTAAAAATATAAATATAAACTTATTAGTATTTCAATAGAAAGTGTGGGCCTGCTTTTGGCTGATGAGATAGGATTGTTGTTGTTTTTGTGTGCTTTCAAGTTGTTTCAGACTTAGGTTGACCCTGAGCGAGGCCCGATTAAATGACCTTAGAGGGCCTCATCCAGCCCCTGGGTCTTAGCTTGAGGACCCCTGGTCTAGAACAACAGACTTCAGTAATGTTTCCTTCATCTTCTCTTCTCCAAAATAAAACAATTCAGATCTTTCAACCATTCTGTACAAGATTTGGCTTCTAACCCTTTCACCATCCCTGTTGCCCTGTTTTGAATCATTCCAATTCATATATGTGCCTCTTAAACTGTAACGAAAAATGGACATCTTACTCTATGTGATTACTGTTGATGAAAACTTTTGTATCATGAGCTTTGCCTAATTTTTTCAGGCATCATAGCATATAATATATCATTACTAAAAATGTCTTTGTTTTAGGTTCCGAGCTGGTTTCAAGAGAGCTTTCAAATGGTGTCCTTTCATTGAAGTATCTAGTTATGATGAACTGGAGTTAAAGACAACCAGGTTCAATCCTACCCGGCAGAGTAGCTTATATACTGTTTCCAGAATGGAATCCAGCATGTCTGTAGTGTATGACCACAGCGATGGAGAAAACACCAGATCCACTCGCAAGAAAGGAGTACCTTCACAGGAAGCGAATCTTAATGGTTGTTCCCGCAGAAGCTCCAAAGCCACTTCAACAATGTCAAGTTACATCAACTCTCCATATACGTCAGTGGATGAGTATTCCTAAAGCCTTACGAGGATTGTGTTATGGATGTGAGAGGACAGAGTATTGCAACTAAATGAGACAGTGCTGTTCTGCCTTAGAACCAAACATCCGAACTTCTGGAGGTGAACCACAACTTCAGATGTTGAGTCCTGATTGCATGTATATATAATTATTTATATCAGGGATATGAAATGTAACCCCCTTTAGATGTTGTTGGACTGTAGCTGCCACGATCCCTCACTGTTGGCTAAAGGTGATGGAAATTGCAACCCAACAACATCAGCAGAGGGTGGAGCCACAAATTGACCATGGAAAGTCTTCCTTGGTCCAATTTGTCTTCATGCTTTAGGAAAGGCAAAGACTGAGACCTGTTAATGTCCATATAATAACATATTGCTGTGTTGTCAATTTGAATGCTTATGTGAAATTGTGCACAATGGGTTGGATTCAGAACAATTTAGAGCTCTCCAAAATCAGTTCATAAAGTGGATTCTGGCTAATTTTATAGTCTCCTTTATTGCTCATTTGATCTGGATGCAAGCCAATAAAATCACAATATGTATGGTGGACATTTAATCTGGAACTCTTGCACTTGCTTGGTTTTACATGGTATGTGTTAGAATGGCATAAAAGTTCTACAAGCATCAGGTTTATTTTTAATATTTATTGTGTAACAACGTTTTAAAATCATCATAATTAGTAAACTGGTATCTCTCTTCCACACAACTGGATGTAAGGAGAACTGCATCTTCCAACAGAATGGCTGCTATTTTTCTGCATAGCTTCTTCCAGTTACCAGAATACACTCTATCTATGTGAAGGAAGATGAATTCAACAATTTCCATAAAAGTTCTTCCCATTGATGCCTCCTTAATTTCATTATTCCAAGATCACCACGGACATTTTGAGTAAAAGCAGATCAGTTTTATGTCTTCAGCATTCAATAATTTAGGCAAAAAAAGTATGTGCCATCAGATTATGAGGCATGAAGTCCATGATGCTCATGTGATGCTTTCAGTATGACTCTACTAAGATGAAGTCACAGAGTAATGGCCACAGATGCCTGCACAATGCCTTAAGAGAAAGAGCATGTAGTGGTTGCTTGAGACATTTAGAATTTCTTCATATGGACTTGTCTTGTTACATCCACAGACAAAAGTAGTTGTTAATTCCCAACAGCAATTCATACAAAATATGGCAGAAGAAAGTGGATTACCATGCTTATGCAGATCATCAATGGGCAGCAGTACCTGGACATATAATACCGAAAAAGTGAGCTGTAGCCCACAAGCAAATGTGCCATAATGTCGTTGAGATGCCATAAGACTCCTTGTTGTTTTTCTTCTCCATCACTGCATCTGCAGCAGTTAATGTATGGAGAAATTCTGAACATCCGAAATATTCCTATGTGTAACAGCATGTGCTTGTACTGACTTGAATTTCTAAATGATTAGATGTATATATTAAAGGTGGGGGAAGTGATGGTGAATATATTCACCTTGCAGACTAAGAGAAGAAAGAGTCATTTTTCAGCATAATGAACTCATTTGTTCAGCTGATGTCTTTCTCATTAGCTTCACTTCTAGATAGTAAGATTTATTTTTCAACTCAAGGTAGAATGCTATTGGCTGGTGCAATATGGAGCAACAGTCCATGTTCATTCTGTTTCTTGTCTTCCATCTCCTCCTTTAGAGGAAAACAGCCAGTAAAGAGAATTCAGTGGAATTGTGGATGATGATGATGATGATGATGATGATATTTTATTTCTAGACCACCCTCTCTCCCCAAAGGGACTCAGGGCAATTCACATACATATAAAAGGCAAACATTCGATGCCATAATTAAGATCACACAATAACAAAATATTGAAATTAAACATTAGCATTTTTATAAACATAAAAAATAAAATATAAGAGATACAAACATTTAAATAAAACATAATTACACCAATAAAACATAATTGCACAAAAACATATATCCTAAACAGTTAGAAAACAACAAAACTGCAAAATGAGCCAAGCATCAAGTTGTAATTCGAAACAGTCCATAGCAGCCATAAAGTGCAGATTGTGCTAGTCCTCCTCCTCTTCATATGCTAAATTACAATGGTGTGTTTTCAGAATATTTGTCAAGGAGTGGAGGATGGGGGGCATTTTAATTTCTTTAGAGAAGGAGTTCCAGAGGCAGGGAGTGATCACAGAGAAGGCCTCCTCCCTCGTTCCCACCAACCATGCTTGTGATGGGGTGGGACTGAGAGAAGGATCTCCTCTGCTCATTGAATTGCACATGGTGGCTTATATAGGGAGATGCAGTTAAACTAAATGGACCCGACCCATTTAGGGCTTTATAGGTAATGACTAGCCCTTTTTGATTTAGCTCGGAAGCGGACCGGCAGGAAGTGGAGCTGAATAGGTTAATTTGCTGCGCTGTCTAGATTATTATGGTGTAATTCAGGCATGGATAACAGTTATGGGAGCCAATTTGTTTGTCTTTGGACCTCTTGTTGACTTTTGGTGATCACAGAATTCTTCTCTAAGTGCTTACAAACTGTCTGTTTAAAAGCCTTCTCTAGAATCACTCCTAGTACTGATGTTAGACTGATTGGGCAGTCATTCTTTGAGGGCCCTTTCACACAGCCCTATATCCCAGAATATCAAGGCAGAAAATCCCACATTATCTTAGTGTGGACTCAGATAACGCAGTTCAAAGCAGATATTATGGGATTTTCTGCCTTGATATTCTGGGATATAGGGCTGTGTGGAAGGGCCCAGAGTTATCTTTCTTTCTGTCTTTGAAGATAGGGAAAACGTTTGTCCTCCTCCAGTCTGCTGGGATTTCTCCATTCTACAGGCATTCTCAAAGGTTATTGCCGGTGCTTCTGAGATTACTTCTGCCAGGCTCTCGCCATTGGTGTAATTCAGCATTACTCATACAGCTTACCACATCAATAACAAGGCATCTATTTTCGTGGAGAGTGTTTCTAATGCTTTGATGTTTTCAATCTTCTGTGGCTTTCAAGCAGATCAGCAAACCTGCTAGTATTTGTGCCAAACGCATTGGTTCAGATTGCTCAATTTGTAACAGACTATTGTAAAGAACAGCACTTAAAGCCCTATATTAAGGCAATTTGTTCCAGCCATCAAATGTAACTCACCAGCTGCCCTCAAAGTCCAGAGGACACTGAATTCAGAAGAGCATGTTTTACAAGTAAAATCATAAACATGAATGTGTGTACATTGCAAGGGCATTTTTTTCACTGAATTTCAGACAGTTTTGTTTAGACCGGTTTCATATTATAATATTTTGTAAAGTATATGTATTTTCAAATGTGAAACATGTAAAAAGAATGAGAAAGAAAAGTCTGTGTCTTATAGCCTTTTTATTGCAACTGAAATATGCTATAATCATCCACTTTTATACATGCTATATTCTAACATTTAATACTACAGCATTGCTGCCTTGGCGGACAGGCCCATAATCCTAGATGTCATGGTAACCGTAAGGACCATGTATTGCAAATATGTTATGTGCTGCCTTGTTAATGTACTGCAACCTTGCCCAACCTAGTGTTCTCCAGCTGCATTGGATTTAAGGCATTTTCAGACTGCAAAATTGCAGTACAGGCAGTCCCCGAGTTACAAACATCCAACTTACAAACAACTCATAGTTACAAATGGAGGTGAAACAACAGGAAGTAAGAGAAATCTACCCCTCAGAAGGGAAATTCACTCCTGAAAGAGTTCTCATGGAGGAAAGGTGTCTCTCAACTGAAGCTTTATTACCAATCTTTGTTTCCACAATAAGCCTTTTTTTCCCCCAAAATCCAATTATCAAAGAGACAGAAAGTGAGGTGAAATCTTCTGAACAGGAGAACAGACAGCAAAACAACTACCACAAAGGTGTTAACCCTTCCCTATGCTATCCAAAGCTTAGAAAAATAAATAGGTAGATGATAGATCAGTCATGGGCAAACTTTGGTCCTCCAGGTATTTTGCACTTCAACTCCCACAATTCCTAACAGCCAGTAGGCTGTTAGGAATTGTGGGAGTTGAAGTCCAAAACACCTGAAGGACCAAAGTTTGCCCATGCATGTGATAGAGGGATACATAGAGAGATAAAGATAGATATATGGCTGGAGTTACATTTTAAAATGTAGCTGTTCTGACTTACAAACAAATTCAGCTTAAGAACAAACCTACAGAAGCTGTCTTGTTCATAACTTGCAGACTGCCTATATCATGATTCCCCCTGAACTGTTGTGGAAACATCCTGTAATATCCTGATATTTGCATGTTAAGGAAGACTACTTGGAAGTCTCAGTCAGAGAGCTCTAGTGCCTCCTCAAACAACAAACCCCAGAATTCTGCAGCAATGAAAGTGGACTCATAGTGCTATGATTGTGTAGTGTTAAGGTGGGGTGGTTAAACTTTCTGAAATCCCATTTTCCAACTCCATCAAGTAAGTGAGTTGCTGTGAGTTTTCCAGGCTGTGTGGCCATGTTCCAGAAGCATTCTCTCCTGATGTTTCACCCACATCTATGGTAGGCATCTTCAGAGGTTGTAAACTAGGCAAGTGAAGTGTGTATGTCTGTGAAATGTTCGGGGTGGAAGAAAGAACTCTTGTCTGTTTGAGGCAAGTGTGAATGTTGAAATTGACCGCATTGATTAACACTGAATGGCCTTTCAGCCTCAAAGCCTGGCTACTTCCCAGTGCTTTGGGCCATGAAAGCCTTCAACAACTCCATTACGGAAGTCTGCAACAATCAGAAGCAGGACTCCTGTCATAAGTTGTAGTCACAGCTCCACTCACTGGTGGAAGAGGATTGAAAACATCCTCCTTCTGGCTTCTCAAGTCACCAGATGAACACATGTTCATTGCCTCATCCTGCTGCTGACTGTTAAGATGGACCACGGCCCCTTCCACACAGCTGAATAAAATCCCACATTTGAACTGGAATATATGGCATTGTGGACTCAGATAATGCAATCCAAAGCAGAGATTGTGGGATTTTCTGCCTTGATGTTCTGGGTTATATGGCTGTGTGGAAGGGCCCTGAGTGATCATTTGTGCAGTCTACTGTAGTCTTACTGAACACAGAGTAGTTATGGATCAACAATTCTAGGCTACAAATATGTAACAACAATGAATGCCAGCTAACAAAAATGCTTACATGGGGAGGATTCCCTATGCTAGTTGCTGAAAAAAGAATTAGGTTGCTGGAACCAAAAAAGGCAAGGGAGAGCTGGGAAATGACTTCTGTGTGAAAGACCTAGGAGCTTAATCTCCAGTGAAAAACAATTTTCATGACATAGCAGATGCTCTGTTCTTTAATGCTGACATCACATAACTATTTTATCCTGATCTTTGGACACAACTTGGGATTCCAATAAAAAGCTAGAAGACAGGCTGAAGTCCACCCATATATGAAATAGAATATGAAAAAAAATTCAAGAGAGAAAAGATAAATTATTAATCGTGCCTTTAAATAGAACCAGGAGGGGGCAGATGGTTTCTAAAGGAAGACTTTTTAAGCCTAAGAGGATGTGAAATAGCTTGAGGATAAGAAAATATATAAAAAGAGACAAGAACACTGTTAAAGACCTGCTGTAAGGTCAAATTAGAAAAGTTTTGTAAAGGTTATGAAAAGGATTACATTCAGTACATCAGGGTTACATTATGTTAATGCCATTACACAAGTGGTTAGATTTCCTCAGATGTTGCAAAAAGGTGGTGCCCTATTCAGAGATGTGTATTCCCAGTGACACTGACATAAACTATAGTGCAAGTGGTTGTGCTGTGATCTTTAACAGCCGGTGAGGAGTCAGATTAACCGGAGTGCAACAGAAGTCGATACAGCCCTAGCATTTGTCCCACAATGACGTTATCTGTTAATTCCATCATTAGCTACACTGGAATAATTTTATGCTATGACATTATCTGTTAATTCCATCATTAGCTACATTGGTGTAATTTTATGCTATGTACTGGTGAAAATATTTCAGCCAAAAGAAACTGCCTATGGCCAGCATTCTATACCATGAGTTGTCCTGATTGTGAATACAGGATAATTACTGTACTTACCAAGATTTACTAATCTGTAATCTGTATTCACTATTGCAAGGTAGTTAAATTTGTTACGCCACTGTAACAATTGTAAACCCGCCCCCCCCCCCAACCTTCATTGATCCTCAGTGCTCTGGCACCACGAGATGCAGAGCCAACTTTAAGAAATGGGGCTACAAAGTGGAATCCACAACATGCGAGTGTGGAGAAGAGCAAACCACTGACCACCTGCTGCAATGCAACCAGAGACCTGCTACATGCACAATGGAGGACCTCCTTGCAGCAACACCAAAGGCACTCCAAGTGGCCAGCTACTGGTCAAAGGACATTTAATCAACTACCAAGCTTGCAAAGTTTGTGTTTTGTCTGTTTGTTTTGTTAAAAATGTAATACAACTGTCTGATTGCTCCTCACGCAATAAATAAATATAGCTGAATGAGGAGAAGGAGATCCATTCAGCCAGCAAGTAGAACATGACTGAATGATGCTTCTGTCAGTTTAAAGGAGAAGGGGCAGGAATCAGGCCAGGACAATTTACTTAGGAGCCCCCAGGATGCAATGAGTTAAACCCTTGTGCCAACAGGACTGAAAACCGATAGGTCACAGGTTTGAATCTGGTGAGAGTGTGGATGAGCTCCCTCTGTCAGCTCCAGCTCCCCATGCGGGGATATGAGAGAAGCTTCCCACAAGGATGGTAAAACATCCAGGTGTCCCCTGGGAAATGTCCTTGCAGACAGCCAATTCTCTCACACCAGAAGCAACTTGCAGTTTCTCAAATCACTCCTGACACGAAAAAAAGTTTACTTAGGACTTTATCACATGAAGGTGTAACTCCATGGCAGTGTGATCACTTGTTGTTGTTGTTCATTCGTTCAGTCGTCTCCGACTCTTCGTGACCTCATGGACCAGCCCACGCCAGAGCTCCCTGTCGGCCGTCACCACCCCCAGCTCCTTCAAGGTCAGTCCAGTCACTTCAAGGATGCCATCCATCCATCTTGCCCTTGGTCTGCCCCTCTTCCTTTTACCTTCCACTTTCCCCAGCATAATTGTCTTTCTAGGCTTTCCTGTCTCCTCATGATGTGGCCAAAGTACTTCAACTTTGTCTCTAGTATCCTTCCCTCCAATAAACAGTCGGGCTTTATTTCCTGGAGGATGGACTGGTTGGATCTTCTCGCAGTCCAAGGCACTCTCAGCACTTTCCTCCAACACCACAGTTCAAAAGCATCGATCTTCCTTCGCTCAGCCTTCCCTAAGGTCCAGCTCTCACATCCGTAGGTGACTACAGGGAAGACCATGGCTTTGACTATGCGGATCTTTGTTGCCAGTCTGATGTCTCTACTCTTCACTATTTTATCGAGACTGGACATTGCTCTCCTCCCAAGAAGTAAGCGTCTTCTGATTTCCTGGCTACAGTCTGCATCTGCAGTAATCTTTGCCCCTAGAAATACAAAGTCTGTCATCTCCTGACATTTCGCCTGCATCTATGGCAAGCATCCTCAGAGGTAGTGAGGCCATATAGCCCGAAAAAACCCACAAGAACCTAGTCCGTATTAGCTCAGGATCTTGCATGATTGGAAAGAAGCCCATTATGGATGAAAAAAAACTATCAGTTCTCCACATTACATTTTGGATTACAATTCCCAGAATGCCTTATGAGAAAAGAATTATGGGACATGTGGTCTAAACAGTGGGGAACAGGTTATAAAGAATGCTTAAATTATGAAATTCCATTAAAAGATCCTTCTGAATTTGAACCTTGAACCTAAAAACATTTTATAAAGTCTATCTCTATTTGAAAGTTTAAACAGGCCCTCAGAACTTTAATGAATGGAATCTATTCTATTCTTATGAGCTCAATAAAAATCCAATTTTTGAAGTGGGAAAATGGTTATCCAATACATTCTAAACCTCTGGAAAAAAGGAAAAAAATCATTTCAAACATGAAGCAGGGAGCACCCCTAAATAACAGCTTTGTTTGGCTGTCTACCTCAAAGGATATTATATTTTCTCCATGTCTCTGAAGGTATAATGTAAGTACCTATTCCAAATGCCTGAAATTCACTTTTTTATAAATATAGTATGTTATTCTCAAGGAAAAGCTAGTACAATCATCTAGGAAAATCATTCATACTGGGTCCCAGAGGACCTCAACAATGAAAAACCTCAAAGCAATGAATCACAAAGGTTCTCTGAGATAAATCTTCCAGGAATTGGAGGAATGTGTCACCCCAGATGTTGCTGGACTACAATTCTCATCAGCCCTTGCCAGCATAGCTAATAGTAAGGA